GCCTAACCAAGTCCACCTTTTACAGTCTGATGAGCTCAAATGACCTCGGCGATGAACGCCATGAGAAGGTGAATACTCCTCCCTTTGTCCAGGCTCCGCGGAGCATAAAACACAAGGGGCTATGCGAGGAATGGGCTCCCCCTCTCCTGCCACCAAACTTCAGAGCAGAGCCACTCAGGCATAGACTGTTTACTTTAATATGCAAGGTTGTGCATACACACATCCACCTGCTGTGCATTCCCCATCTGGTTGTAGTCGAGTGAATAAGCATCGCTCCTCTCACTCTCATTGCAAGCGAAAAAGATGAAATTGCATGTGATCATATTAAAACCCTTCTCTGCCTTCTCCTGCATGTATTTAGGTGCTCCTAATGTTAATTTTATCTCACCATCATCTCATTTGTCCTCTCGTTTTGATTAAAATGTAACCGTCCTTGACTGCTGGCTACAGTGTAACACGCAGGACCTCGACCGCCAGTGAGGTTAGATTAGCAGATCAAAGGGACTCTGGCTTCCCTTAAAACCATTCTCAGGATTCCGGACGTTCCCTTTCAGCATTGCGCGTGGTTTGCATTTGTATAATAAGAACAGATTAAAAGAAATTGAGGACAGCATCAACAATAAAGCCTACATATGCGGAAAAACTGTTAGACAAAGTGGGGAATATGGGGCGAGATAAATCAAACATCAAGCAACCAGTTTTTCAGACCATGTTGTGTGTCAAAACAATGGCCTATGCCTGAGCAAAATCTGTGCTTAGTTTTTTTTTTTTTTTTTTAAAGGGAAGATGCCTATTGTATTATTGCCCAGGCGCTCAGCCCTCACACTGAAATCTCTCAGGTGTATTTATGTTCTCTTGGCTATTTCGGCTTCACACAAAGGCTCAGTTGTTGTACAGCTGTTGTTAACCAGCCAGTAGCTGAGAACTGTTTGGCGACAACTGGTTCACCTCCTCTCATACTCTCTCTGTTTCTCTCATGCACAAGGATTGGCTGTGTCAACAGACACAGGAATGCCACCAAACTGGCCAATCAGCCATCTCTGGTCCCTTTCTCCTCACTCGGCCGACTCTTCTAATTTTCCTCCGGTGCTGTTCCTGCACCCCAATCAGCTTCATTTTTATTCCACAGTTTCTTTTGTTCACAAGTATGTTAAGGAGATGAGTTTTGATACAACAGTTTGGTGACATGGCTGAAATCTGAAATCTCTGCACATTAAAATTCCAGCTTCTTTCTTTATTCTTGCAATTCATCAGACAAAAGACGGCTTGTATCGGATTCAGCCACCATCTGCAGTCCAAACACATATCCAAGTACACCAAATAATATTATAGAGCAGGGGTGTCAAACATAAGGCTCGGAATCCAGGATTGGCCCAGCAGAGACTCCAATCCAGCCCAGTGGAGGGCTTTGGAGAATGTGAAGAAAGGGATAGATTTTGAACTTTTAACTGTAGTTTCATTAATTTTACAGCTTTTTCTATGATAAAGGCCTCCCTTTTTGCCATTATTGCAACACCAAATAGTTGCACAATAGAAAAACAATTAAATGACACTTCCTGTTTTCCAATATCTACTATAGAAACTTTCTATTATAGACAAAAAAAAAATTTATTATAAATACAGAAGAGTCTGCAATGAGCTACCAGACCCTTTTCTGCTGTTTTACACATTTATCATGGAGGAAACAGAGAGATACGGAGAGTTTCTCCAGTCTGGGCTATGATGTAAGCTGACATCCCTGAGATATTCAAATCCTAAAAACACTCCAGCCCCACCACACCAAAAAAAAAATAAATTAAAAAAATTAAAATGATTTTATTCTGACAGTTTTGCAATATCTTCTCAGTATTTCTCGATTCACACATGGATGGCTTTGTGTGGATCATAACTTGTAATAAATAATTTACATTATACAACTAGCCTATGTAAAAATCGCACAAATTAAAACGATTACACTAAGAGAAAAATAATAATTTGATGCCAAAAAACATCAAACTATCTACAGGAGAAGAACTAGTTTTGGGGCTGTGTGTTGGGAGAAGAAAGGGGCAGTTCTGTGGTCTAAAATAGCAACAACATGGTAATAATATTCCCTCGTTAAAGGCGCATGTTTATGCAAACACCTCAAAATGAGCTTGGAGCATAAATTTGAGGTCAGGACTATTTCTGGGGCAATTTATTTTAAGACAAAAATCAAGTAAACACTCGATTTTAGAACAGCTTGTAAACTTTAGTGAGCTGTCATGAGGCTTATCCCACTTTTCCGCCACGTCCGTCTACTCCAAGCGCTACAAAGGCTGCTTTGTATTTCCACGGCACACTTAATTCACAAACCTTGACTCATACGACAAATAATCGTTTTGAAGTTTAACCATTAAATAGAACCCAAGCACCTGTGTACTCGTGGATTAATTGCGTCACACCCACCTTTCCGGTCAGTCAGTATCGGTGCGCGTCGAAACCACAGTCTTGTGTTTTTTCCCCTCCCTCTCTCTCCCTTTTCCACGAGCCACTGGGACCACGAGCGGAGCAACAAGATAAACAACCGACGCACCTGCCTCCCAGCGAGACGTCGTCGCAGCCTATTTGTAGCTTTTACCTGCCATAATAATCTCTCATATCCTCTTTACGCAGCGCCGAAGGATCCGATTATAGCCCGCGCATCAGCGCTGTGAGCGCACACAGAGCATAAAACCCCCCTAAAAGAAACCCAACAAACAAAAACGCTTGACAGCATACAATAAAAGGCTTTGTTTTGGGGGTTTGTTTTGTTTTGTTTAGCTCATTATCAAGAACAGGAAAAGCCGAACACGAGAGGGCGGCTGCCAAATCCAATCACAAAGCCACAGGTGTCCATCTGCGCAAACCCAAATGTTGTAAAATGCCTCATCAGCAAAACAGATCTCATTCACATTTGGTTTAATTTTTAAAAAGAAAAAAAAAAGAAAAAACAACGACAAACACATAGATGGTTATTTTACTGCACCTGTAAAAATGAGCCTTATGCTGAATGATCCTCCTCACTTACGGATCTTGCATTTGACAGTCCTTCAAGAAGCAGCAGCAGCGCTGAACAATGCTGGTGGGATGAGAAGGTGCTACTCAGTGAACCGATAACATAGGGGTAACTATCCCCTGCTACCAGTACAACCTGTTGCCAGAACATCCGATAGTGAGCGTCCCGCCTCAGTGCCGCCTTCATTAGTTGGGAGGAAGACCGAGGGGGAGGAGCCTGCTGCTTGGGCTCAGTCACATCAGGGGTTAATACACTACATCGAGTGTGACCCATTTCATCCATGCATAGGTCTTACGGTAAATAATCTCTTAATCATGCTGAAAATGGCGTTTGAGTTGGTGATATTTCTATATGTTAATATAGCATCTCCAATACAGCTCACTATCAAAGTTTTTACACGATGCAACTCCATCCTTTGATGTCTGTTTTCTTAAAGATCCTTAAACTCTACTTGCAAAATGTATCCAGGGGTTATCTGGAGAGAATGACACGGTCTGAATGCAGGATGTTAAACAGGTTCAAAATAAATGTGTATCTGCCAACATGGAACAGTAAAATGCTGAATAGTTGTGATAATTAACATTGTTCATTTTAGACGACCATGTAAAAGCTACACAAATGGTCAAAGTGGGAAAATATAAAACTGAGATATGATTAAGAAATGTAGCTTCTATATATTTTATTGTTCCTGGTTAGAAAAACTGGTTTTAGAACAAGGGTAACTGTATGAAGCAAATGCTTTAGTTAATAATTTTGGTTCTATTTTATTTTTAAAAGCTCCTTCATAATGTGCATTAATATTATAATAAATGTTATTGCATCTGAACTCCTGCAGGTACAGGTCTGTAAAAAGTATGCTGCTTTCATGAAGTGGTTAAGTAGCAGCCAGGTGCCGCTAATCAAATGTGCTTAACTGATCAACAGCAAATGTAATACATAAACACTGTTCAGATGTGTTAGCATAATGCTGAGTAGAGACATCAACAATGGTCTTAGAGAAGCCAATGTTTCTGCCCATCAGGTTTATAAGGCCATCGCCATACAATTTTAAGTCCATTGTTCTGCACTAAGATTATTCACAAGTGCAAAACATTCAGGACAACTGCCAGTCTTCCCACGAGCGGATGTGCCAGCAAATTTAACCCATGGTCAGACCAAGAAATCCAGGACAATAAAAACCCCAGGGCCTCGGTTAGAATGTTAAATGACATAATAGTACAATTAAGAAAAAAAAAAAAGACTGAACAACTATGAATTTTTTTGGAAGGATGCCAGAAGAAAGGCAAAAAGCAACACAACTTAGGTTTGCAAAGATGGATCGGAACAGACTGCAAGACTTGTGGAACAATGTCCTTTGGACAGATGAGTTTAAAGTAGATGTTTGGCCATAATTCACAGCATATCAGCACAACTACCTCCTACCAACTGTCAAGCATAGTGCTGGAGGTGTGATGTTTTGGGCTTGCTTTGCAGCCACAGAGTACCCTTCTGTATACCAAAATATTCTACAGCCAAATGTGTTCAACCTAAACTGGGCACACCAGCAAATCTACAACAGAATGGCTGAAAAAGAAAAGAATGATGTTATTTAATTAATGCTGCCAAATGTAGTACAGTTTTTCAGGGGACTACACAGTCCTATGAAAACTGTATAAAGCTAATTATTTCAAATATTAAGATAATTTGCTTTAAACATTTCCCTTTTTATGAATGTAGTAATTGGTTCTAACTTGAACTAATTAAAAGGAGAAAAATATTTTAAGGAATCTGATTTCATTATTGCTATTTTTCAGAATACTTGCAAATTAGTAAATTAGACATTAAAAGTGTTTTTTGAGTCACAATAGTATTACGAATCAGTTATTCATCCATTAATAAAGGCTTAACAAAATAATGTAATAATCCCAGCTGAACAAACCATTAATAAAGCCACACAAATATTAAAGAAGCACCGTTAACTTGGCATTTACAGCAAACAACATTGTTGCGTTTTCTAATCATTTTAATAGAATGATTAGCAGATAAAAGTTAAAAATGGGAATAAAAACAGACATGGACAAGTACAAAAAATCTGTCTTTACTTCAAGAGTTCAGTACCTTTCTGTTCCCCACCGGGTATAGGACTCTCTGGTTCCTCCAGGTTCCACCAGGAGGCACCAGAGCAGAACAAGAGCACAGCACGAATACCAGTACAAAATAAAAGGGAACAGCTGAGAGCAAGAAAAGAAAGGCAACTTGGACATTGATTAAAGAAAATTAAGGAAAGCGAGAAGAAAGAGAAACATCTTATACTGCTCCAGAAAAGTGAAAAATGGGTATTTTTTTTCTTCGTTCTTTTGTTATTTGGTCTACTTTAAGGTCTCCTGCAGTTCAGAAACCAGAATATAAACATCAACAAATCAGACACTTACTGCATTGGCTCACATGCACCCCCCTCGCCCATCTTGATTTTTTTTTTTCATTTTTTTTTTTTTTTTTGGAAAAAGGACTATGCACATCTGATATGACATGATGTCACTACTTGCTATGCCAACACCACCCAAAAGCACTGATTTCACAATTTATGATGTACTGCAGAGATAAAAATAAAACAGCCGACTCAAACGCACTGTATAAAAACAAAACGTCATATCACCGAGACGCACGACTTCAACTCATTATTTTGATCATTGGCAGAGTCTGCGACATGTTCACAGCTGATGGAAGATCCAGACAAATGTTTTGTCCTAATATTTACAACTATTTCGACAGCATGATCCTCTGTGAAGTGCGGATGAAATCTCCGTCCGAGTCTCCTTTGGATTATTCAGCACTGGGTATAAAATGATACAAGAAGTAAGAGCCAAAGAGTGTGTGTGTGGATGCGCAGGAACTGTTAAAAAAAATTCGTACCCCAGCTGACACTTAAGATTTCACAATACACATGATGCTGAGGTTTTTACACTGCAATATAGTGATGTTTTTCTCCTTTTTCATTCACTTTCTTGCAGTAAAACAAAAGAAGAAGAAAAAAGGCTAACATGTGATAGGGCAGTACTAGACTCAAGCGTTTTAGTAAGATGAGAGTCAAATAACGTATCCTCTATTCATTTAGCCTCACCGTACACAGTTGTGGGAATATTTTAACTTCGCCTTCCCCACCTAAAGTGTGTCTGTTTAAGTCATCACCAATATGACACATGAGTGTATCGAGTAAATCACAGTCAGAGTGGGAGCTTCCGTGCCAGTCAGTCACAAACTGTGTGAGGTAGTGTGTTGGTGTCAGTGCTTTGCTGGTTGGCAGGCTAGAGATCTGAAGGACTGTGTAGTTTTAACATTCATCATGTTTTGACTCCTGTAAGAAGGAAGGGGGTGGGGAGGTGGGGCAGAGGAGAAAAAAATAATTTGCCGAGAGTCACTCAAAGTGCTATATATAAGCATGAAAGTCGATGAGCGCGTTTCTCTGTGTAGTGAACAAGTAAAGGGATAGTCAAGAGAAAGCTGGGCAAGTAGCTGACAAGACACACACAGGTCATTCAGTTAGATCAGTCTCTCTATTTGTCTGTAGGCGCCCCAAATCAGTGCTGCTCTCTCTTTTCTACTCCTCAGCTCTCATTGGCTGCCACCAGCTGGCCTAATCCTTGGCGCACAAACACTGCCTGGATGTCCTTGGTCTTGATGCAGAAGTCACAAGCCCAAACAGCAGCGCTCTCTCGAGTCAGCAGCCCATATGCTGGTTCCGTCAGGCCTGTGCAGTCGCGGTGGAACCAGCGCTGGCACGACGCCTCGCAAAGGATGGCGTCTTGGTCGTCGTGCACTTCTGCCATGCAATGACCGCATGGGAAAATCATCCCAGAGCTGCCGAGTTTTCCAGGGCCAGAGCCGGGCCCGGTTGAGGGGGCAGCAGGGCCAGAAGGCAGGGGAGACTGGGTGTTTGGAGTTGATGTAGAATTAGAGGGGGGATTTGGGTTGCTGCCAGGAGTGTTACCGCCATTGTTGTTGGTCATGTTGTTCTGACCTGAATTGGTGGCTGTATTTGACATGGGACCCCCAGTACCAGTAGTGCTGTTCTGTTGGTTGTAAGGGGTGGAGCCTGGTGCAGAGTTAGGTGGGGTTGACTGTTGCTGCTGCTGGGTAGAGTTGTTAGAGTTAGGGGTGTTTGTATTGCTAGGGGGCTGTAGCTGACTTGGTGTTGGATGCTGGGGCTGACCTGATCCATTCAAGGGACCAGTGGGAGAAGAGTTGGGGTTAGGCTGTGGTGGTGCTGACGGAGGCTGAACAGGCGTACTGGCATTGGGCTGCTGGACATCAGAGTGGCCAGGGAAGCCACCCCCAGGCTGAGGTGGGCCAGAATTTGGAGGCGGCCCAGGTGTTGTATTATTAGGAGGAGGGCCATTTGGATTCATGTTAAGCTGCTGCTGTTGTTGCTGTTGTTGTTGCTGCTGCTGAGGCCCAGGTGGTGCACCACCTCCACCGAAGCTCTTTCCATCCTCGTTGCCTGGCCCCGGTGGGCTGGGGCCAGGGTAAGGGCCATCCTGTGAAGGCGGGAACTGTCCTTGAGGGGGCATTCCTGGCAAGCCTCCCACCATATTGCCACCCGGGCCACCACTCATGCCTCCCATCATGTTCATCCCTGGACCCAAACCTCCTCCCATGGGAGGCAAGGGCCCCCTTGGGCCTCCACCACCAGGTAACGGAGGGCTGTTAAATGGGTGCCCACCCTGTCCGTGCTGCTGTGGAGGCATCCCAAATCGCGGGTGTGGTGGCCCCCCTCCTCCAGGTCCTCCCATACCTCCTGGGGACAACATGGGATTGAATCCTGGCCCTGGATGCATAGGTGGACTAAAGCTGGGTGGCATATTGAACTGAGAGGGGCCACCAGGAGGGAAGCCACCCGCTCCGCCTCCACCTCCACCGCCTCCACCCCCACCACCTCCAAAGCCAGGCATTCCAAAACCTAGCTGGTTGTGGGGTCCAGCATTAGACGGAGGGCCGAATGGGGGCCTCCGTCCAGGCTGGCCACCGCCCGGTCCTCCTGGTCCTCCCATGAAGTTCATACCTCCAGTCATTCTGCTTCCACCTCCATACCCACCTCCTCCGCCGGCACCTGGGCTGGGAAGAAATGGAGCACCACCTGGTCCACCTGCCCCACCAGGTCTGGATGGGGATGCAAAGTCATCGTCAAACGGGTTGGAGGCGACCAGATGGTCCACCATGGGGGTAGGAGGGGGTGCAAACTCAGTGAGGTGGGAGAAACCCGCAGCCTGAAACAGAGAACAAAATACACAATGCATTCTTTCTTTTTTTGCTGCTTATATGAGACCAATTATTTAAATTCTCAGTCTATTAAATGTTTAGGTCAACCTGTTTACTGAGAACATTCTCTTTATTGTAGCAATGTAAATATAGTTTTGTGAAAAAGTATTTGTTCCCTTCCAGATTTATTTTTTGCATATTTTTCACATTTAAATGTTTTAAATCATACAAGTTTTAATATTATACAAAGATAACTCATGTTATCTTTGTAACATGTTATCTTTGTAAAAAACAAAAAAAAAACAAAAGAGCATTTTGTTTTTTTAAGTTATCACCATTAAGTGTTTGCGATAACTGGTATTGAGTTTTTCACATCACATGTGAAGGAATTTTGGCCCACTCTTATTTGCAGAATTGTTTTAATTCAGTAACACACAAGGCAAGGTTTTTGAACATAAACAACCTGTTTAAGGTCATGCTAAAATAACTCAGATTCAAGTACAGACTTTGACTAGGCCACTGCAAAACCTGTTTTTGACCATGCACAACAGCAAGAGGTGGACTTGCTGCTGTGTTTTGGGTCATTTTCCTGCTGCGTAACCAAAGTGAGCTTGAGTTTCAGGGCATTCGTATTTTGTGGTTCCCTAAATTATGCCAGCTTCTCCAGGTCCTCAAGCAGCAAAGCAACCCCAGATCGTCACACTACTACCACCATGTTTTCCTGCTGGTACAATGTTTTTTTTTTTAATGAAATGCTGTGTTAGCTTTACATCAGATGTAACAGGACTCAAACCTTCCAAAACAGTTTCTTTCATCAGACCACAGAATACCTTCGCAAAAGTCTTTGGTGATGTTTTTTGGTAAATGTGAGATAAGCCTTTGTGGTCTGCAGTGGTTTTCTCCTTTCCCATGGGTACTGTTTTGCCCAGTGTCTTTCTTATTGTTGAATCATGAACTCTGACCTTAACTAAGACAAGTGAGACCTGTAGTTCTTTAGATGGTGTTCTGGGTTCTTTTGTGACTGAGGTCCCGGATGAGTCATCGATGTGTTCTTGAAGTAATTTTGGTAGGCTGCTCACTTCTGGGAAGGGTCCCCTCGTTCAAAGTTTTCTTCATTAGTGGATAATGGCTGTCACCGTGTTTCACTTGAACAGGCTGATAGATGTCACAGACTTTGTTTCTCAGCTATTTCTTTAGATCATGGACTTTTTTTTTGGCCTACTTGATTTTAGAATCAGGCACTCAATATTTGAGTGATTTCTTGATTCAACAGGTTTGGCAGTAATCAGGCTTGGGTGTTGCTAGAGAAACTGAACTCCACTTTCCAAAATATGCGGTTAATGACATTTAAATAATGATTTAGAATTAGTTTTTGTTTCTTTGTTTGTTTTTAATACAATTCCAGCAGACTTCGGCTAGCTTTGTTCTCCTAAGAAAAGAAATCATCTCTTAAAAACAGCATTTTAAATTTAGTTGGGTTATATCTGTCAAATATTAAAATTTGTTTAATTATCTAAAAAAAATTTGCATATGGCAAATATGCAAAATAAATAAAATAAAAAAATCAGGAACACAGGAAACAATTTTTCACAACACTGCAGATCGCCAATAACCGTCTAGGTTGGGGAAACCTGTCACTTGAACGAGTGACAAAACGTTTCTCCCACTCAAAAAGTTACGTCCAGATGAACAGAATCAACTTTTAACAGTTTTTACCTGAGCCGTGGATTTCCTTGCCTTTTTCTTCTCCGGGCTCTTCATCTGTGAAGCTGAAAAAGAAAAACATGAAAGGGAGGGGTGGAAAGATGGAAACACCATAAGTTACAACAAACACAGCATCCATGTCTCATGCTTTTGGTTCACCACCATACTGTAGCAGCATCACATTTGGATTGGCCAATACCCCTTAGTGACAGATTGGAGCAGCTTTAGACCTAGGGCCTCTTTGTCAAGTCCAACAGTTGAGATGGATTCAATGATGGGACATAGACTGGCATGAGGACAAGATGCTAAACATCCAGGCGTTATCATCACCAAGGTTATGAAGCCTTGAATCGCAAATGACCCAGGCAGACCAAATGACCCAGGCAAGAGGGAGAGAGGCCGCAAACAGAGGCAGAAGAGGTAAGGTCAATGAGGGAGACAGGAAAAGACGAAGACATGAGAACGAGGAAACGGAATTGAAGGTACATTGATAGCAAGATAGACATGAACCCCGTTCACAGATCCACTCTGTGAGAAACAGCCACCACCGGAGACAGTCGTGAAGTTTACATATGGGGGAGGCGAGAAGGGATTTGCTAACAGCACCAGTGCAGCCCATTGCAGCGCAGTAATGGATGATTCCGATCTGATTTGGAGATGGGTGAAATTAATTCCTACCTCTGCTTCGTTTTCCTTGTCCCGCCTGTAGTCTCCCCGAGTCGGCAGCCATTGGCTAATATGACTGTCGGTGAAGTGGCAAATCACCGTTCATATGCAAGAAAAAAAAGTTAAAAATGACGACGTCTTGAAAGCTATAGGGCGACTAGGTGGATTCTGCCTTCAGGTCATGTCAGTAACGCTACCATTAATATCATCACAACATAAACTGGCACTTAGTGGTAACTAGATAAGCTGGCCCAGGTCTGCAAACTCCTTTCCAGCTGCAAATCTTTGGCCACGGTGTCTGTCACGCCGGGTTTTTGGTCACCAAATCACCGTCACTTAAGACTGAGCACGTTCACGGTTTTTTTTGCAAGCCAGTTTCTACTAGCTGAGTGAAACTGGTTGCTTGATACCTGGCTCTGCCTGCCAGTACAAGCAGCAAGTTACAGAGCAACCCCCTCCCTCTCTCTCAATGATCACTTACAGATGTGTAGCTATGACCAGCTAGCTAACGCAAGCTAGTTACTACCTTGGCTAACTAGCTAGCCACGTTACTCAGTGTGGCTAGCTAGTAGCGACAAAAAATCCGAGAGCGTGGTTCAGCTTTCTACATCCAAGTGTGAACATATGCACTCAATTTCACTCATCAAAGCATTTATGACTTAAAGAAATCGGTTATGTTTTTGAAAAAAAAAGCTGTTGTTTACTTTGCTAACATTAGCTTACTAGCTAACGTTAGCATGCTACTAATAGCCATCTTGCAGACTGTCTTGGAAGCAAACTGTACCCTTTCTCCGTTGCTCGCTCTGCTGTCCTTTAAATTGAAAATCTCTGGTGTGTCATTGCCAGCAAACCAGTCGTCACACGGTGTATGCTTGTCGGTTTCACCATTCAACTATAATTCATTCAAAAACGCAAATTTTGCCATAATTATCATGGCCTTCTATCGCAACCGGACAAAGAGGGATAAAGCGAGAGTATCGCGCACCGTGGAAGGTTCTATCTCAAAACCAATATGGGGGTGTCGAAAGGTATCCGTAAAAACTATAAAGCGTACGTATAAGAATTTCTCTTAAAAGACCACTTGTATTGCATAACACATGAGAGTTTAAGATGTTGTATCAGAAGAATTATCACTATTATCCTCGATATCCTTATTATTTGAATCTATAGAATATGTACACACCTTTGATTGACGTAGGTGAAGCGGCCTAGAACGGACCATTTTTCAACGATACCCTGTACAGTTAAAGTAGTGATGCACATCTTAAGTAGAAGTTGTTAATTAAGTACGTTATTAAGTGGCATATTGATGATCATTCACCAATATTGTATAAAAAATACGGATACTTTGAACACAAAAGCCATTATACAGTTCTGTACAGGACCTACTAAGTGGGGAACTGCATAGAAAACCAACACAAATCCAGTTTATTTGCCACAGAAGTTATACGAATAATATTTTACGATTTACCCGAGGTCACATCTGCACAATAACTGTAACCTTAACTAGGTTAAAAAAAAGCAAGGGCCAGCTCAAATATTTAAAATAAAAAATATATATCTGTCACAGGGATCGTTTTGTGGAGTACTTAGGATGAGGAATTAACCCTGCGGTGTTTACTTTGTGTAAATAATAATGAAAAACAGTTAAAAAATCACATGGTTGAATTCAGTTCTTGTTTGTCAATGTTTATGTATATAATTCTTATTTTTTTATTAAGATTAAATGTTAATAATGACCTAAATATAATATTCAACTGCATCTGTCAGTTTTATGAAAATTCGTCATGAAAAGAAAATGTATAAATGGAAGTGTCACTCTGCACTGTGAAATGTAGAATCTATAATAAAAACACAATTTTATGAAGCATTTATGCTTCTGTTGCTTCATTTCCATATTAAAATAGAGGCCTTTAAAATAAGATCTATAAAGAATAATTGAAGTGTCAGTCTCCTTGTTCGGCTACCTGGACACATGACTCTCTAAATTCCTAAAATGGATATTCTTCCACGCTGTCTACAATTAAAGGCTTATCACCGCCTACCATGTCCTGGCTCCCCCTTCTAGACCTCAGATACCCCCTCCTTTCCACACTCCAGGCACATCCAGGAGGGTCAGTGAAACAGTGGACAGTTTTTAAACTCAGAAAAGCCACCCTGGGAATGGGACCACAAATCAGAATCAAGAAAACCCTGACATTCTTTCGGATCATCCCTCTCCAGAGACATCTCTTCATTCAAAGGGAATAAACTTTTCCTCAGAGTAGAAAAGGGAACAGTTTTAAGAGATCACAGATGGGATAAAATTGAGGTATTTGTTACTGCCTGCCAAACAGGCAGGAGAAACTTTTTTTTATTCGAAATTGAAGATTTAAGAAGAGATCTATTCGCTTACACGCTTTTGTGACATGCTTTAAACTGAGGTGAGGAGATCCAGTCGACACAGACTGTATCCTAGAATAAAGCAGCGGAAGTCTTTTGTTAGAAAGGCTGTGATTTCTAAAGGTGCGTCTCTCGGGCCCTGGTGTATGGAGATACAAAGTGCCGGAACAGGCAGAGAGGTTTGGAGGTTTCCATCCGAGTTACAATGGCAAAGTGGTTCAAAGAGTTCCCCATGAACCTGAAGAATGGTACCGACAGGATCCGCTCAGTCTCCGAATCAGGCACGCAGCCGAGAGCCAATAAAGCAGGTCTGATGGCGAGCATCGGTACCAAAGCGCCGGCCTCCAAAACGGGCCATCGCAAAAACTCCTCCGCGGATAGCACAGGCGGAGGAGGAGGAGTAGGTGGAGGAGTCGGGTCTCTCCTGTCCGGAAGAAACCGAAAAAACTCGGCTATAGAGTTGAGTAGAAACGGCGTGAGCTCTCCGAAAGATGGGAAAGTGTGGGACAACCTCCTGTCTGGGAAAAGTCGCAAGAACTCCAAAGCAGAGCCGGTGTTTGATGAGCAGCCCAGATCCATTAAGAGCTCTCCGTCTGCCAACGCATACATCAGTCGGCTGATCAGAGTGGACAAGCAGGACAAGAGTCCCAGCTTCAACAGCGGTACCATCACCAGCGCAGTGGCACCTGAGGCGGAGAAAGCAGCCCAGTGCAAAACAGAAACCGTAAGTTCCCCTTTCAGATTTAGAAGGTTTAACCCTCCCTGTAAGCTGCCCTATCAGATAAATATTGCTTCTGGGATATGGATCTTTAAAAAACCCCATCTGATTTAAATCGTGTTGTTGTGTAGTTTGAAAATAATTGGAAAAGAGTGAAGACTAGCTAATTAAAAGAGCCCCCCCCCCCCCCCCCCCCCCCCCCCCCATTATATTTTCAGGGTGCAGCAGCTGTTGGTTCATTTAGATGGAAAATTAAATAGGCCACTAAAAGCTATTAAATACTTAATAATTGTATCCAGAGTATAGTATTTCATTATGTCATTAATTCATTTCGTTGCTTTTCAGATTAAGATTGCACACAGACCTCTAATGGGCCTTAAGAGCATTTATTTTTATTATATTAAACAATAAATTATAAGAATTAGTTCCAACTTAACTGATACATTACACCAGTGATCCACAATAATCTGAAAAAATAACATCTGCTTGCGGTGTTTGTTTGTTTCTGTACTTTATTCAGCCTAATTATACTAGTATAATAAAATCTTATTATATTCTGAGTTATACAAACTTTTCAAGCAGTTGTGGAATAACTTTAACTGACACAGATGTAGCAGCAGTGGATCTAAACCATCTGTTTGCACCTCGTAAGCAAACTCTACACTGAAAGTCATCAAATCTGTTGGCAACAAAGTCGGCCAACAGATTTGAGTCGGCTCTGAAAATTGATATTATTGTTTTGTTTTCTCCCATCCCCCTTTGTCTCTGCTTCCCATTGTGTCCTCTCCTCCTCCTCCTCTCTTTCCGCCTCTCTCTCTTTCTCTTCCTCTCCACCCCTCGCCCATGCGCCCATCTTCCCCACCTTGAAAACAAAGCTGTGGTCAGATGTGAGGCCTTCACCTCCCTCTCGTGCATGCGATATGGCTCAGTGATGTCCTTTTATTCAGCTCCTCCCTCTACCTCATCCCTCTCTCTTACTACATTCATCCCCTCCCTCCAGTAATGGCTATCATGTTATAAAAAGCAGAGGTTACTTGACACTCAGGCGTTAACCCAAGTGCCCTCCAGCTCAGTTTAAAAAAACCCCACAGAATCACAGAAAAGTGAGGGAAAAGATGATAAGAAAAAAAAAGACATTTGCAGTTGCTGCTGGGTTTGATCAGTCAAGTTCTTGTAGTTCTAGTCTTGCACATCTAAACTTTTGTTCTCCCATTTAATGAAAAAAAAATGATGCCTTTTTTCACAGGGAGGAAGAGTATAAAACTTGATCAAGGCTTCATATGTCTGTATACTTGTGCTGTCATCTGCACTACTTTGTCCTGCTGAATCCTTCTGATCTAAACCCATTAACAGCTGTCGGTTTGCTCATTTACACTTGTCAGGCTGAGTTTTTTCACCTTTATTCAAACTCCAAAGGCAGCTGGAAGTGATTTTAGGGAGGCAGTTTTTACAGCCTGCCATTGTCTCTCATGGCTTGTAAAATAAACAAGAAATTCTGTGTCACTGATAAGGTGACAGGACACTCGCGTGTGATTGATGCAGCAGAATAATTGAGGTTAAGTAAATATGCAGAGACAATAGACTTCAGTAAATGTGTAAAACAAGACATTAAATATTTTTCTAACTGAAGCCTGTCTCGCTGTTTACTGAAGTTAATTTAATACCTCGTTCCCAGTGTCTTCAGGGAAGCTGAGACTAAATTTTATCACAAGAAAAAACATCTGGAAAATGCTTAGTTTTTTCTGCTTATCTTCAAATTTTAGGATCTGTTGTAACTTTTTTCTTTGTATTAAATATTTTATGCTGACATCTGTTCTTATTAAAAAGGAGTACTATCAAACTTTTGTTCTCCCAAAAGAAAAAAAGAGGCTCTGACAGGATACAGTGTAAAGGTTATTTTTCACTATTTTTGACATTTTATAGACAAAAAAAGTATGAAAATGGCTTCAAGGCCAAGTTTTAATGAAAGCATTGTTAGTTTGAGCTGTATTTCATGCTAGAGATGATGGATGACATTATATTTAGCACCTGCTATAAGACAATTTATTATGTTGTTACCTCTGCTCAGGTTGGTGTGTCCTGTTCATTCAGCCTGTCCAACTTTCTTGATTATTGATTATTATAAATAGACCTGCATCCCTTAAATGTTTTAATTGTGATCATCAGCTGACAACATCTGCATTTTCTTTGTCTATATAAGATTACTGCTTGGGCTTTCCTACAGTTTTTCCTTGACCCTTGTCAAACTTTATTCTGAAAACCTTATTTTGTGTTTAAAGAATCTAATTACACATGAAAAAAGAATGATTTCACTGTGTTTTTAACCAGGTCATTATCCTTGAGGACTATGCGGATCCTTTTGATGCTCAGAAAACCAGAGAGCAAAGGGAGGCAGAGAGGGTTGGTGAGAACGATGGCTACATGGAGCCGTACGATGCACAGCAAATGATAACCGGTAAGACTTTGATCAGGATGCTCTGGTCTTTACTCCCACAGGGTCCTCCTGTGACTGACAGCATTCCCATTTTGAGTCTCTCCAGGCAGCGCAGTGAGAACATGAACTCACTCCCGTAGCGCTCTCTCTGTACCCCATCTGGACAATGGGTGTAGTTTCCTGTTCCTGCTTCCTCTTTCCTGCCTCTGTTTCCTGGTACTATTCATTAAAAAGGAAGTTTGCCCTCAGTGCGCTCCCCCCGCATTTATGACACAGTTTTGTTTAAACCCCCATATGGAGCTGTCGGACCATTAATCAAAACTTCCCAGCGTCAAGGAGGACTGGTGACCAGTCGTCCAATCACATGCTCCCCTGACCTTTCCTTCCATCAGTCCATTGTTTAAACTGAAAGAGTTACTCACAATAGCCCGCTGTGAATGAGAAAATGTTTTATTGCTGTAGTAGCTTCTAGTCTGGTGAGTGGCTGTGCGACTTCCACACTTCATCAGAGAAGTCTACTGAGGATGTGATGATGTGAATGAGTCAGTTTAAGAGTCTCAAATCATACTGAGGAAGTAAGCAGTGCACAATACTGTGACTCAGTATACAGCATCCTAATTAATCTTTAGTTGGCAGCTGATCTCAGTGACTAGAACAAAATATATTACATAGATTTTACAGTTATTTTACATCTAGTCGTGATGTTGCTTTAAACTCAATTTGAGCATGATTAGCAAAAATGGTAAACACCCTTCTCTCATGGCCCCTGATTTATGTAGCCGGCTAAATTAATAGTGGTAAACACTTGTCTCAGTCATTAAATGCATTGCCCTCTTTAACGTGAAATGTAACGGCTTCTGTTTTTTCCCCTGAAGGTCGCTGTTTTATTTTATGAAAGTGTAATAACTTTCAACCTTGCTCTAAAACGCAGCAGGACTCTTTGCAATAATAACCTTTTTCTACTCTTTTGAAAATGGCTTAAGCTGCCTTAACGTGTTTGTTGTTGTGAATTGGCACATATGAATAAAAAACTCAATTGAAATTACTTCAGATTTTCACTTGTTAACACTGACATAACAAAATAAGACGATATCACGATTCAAAGATTTAATTATTCTTTATTGCACATAATAAATCTCTGTGTGGTAGTTCTCTGCTTAAAACACACACACACACACACACACACACACACACACACACACACACACACACACACACACACACACACACAATAAATAGATATACACAATACATTAAAAGGCAGCATTGTAAACTTGACGTAAAGTGCAGCTGTCCAGTGCATGTCTCTGTGTTTTAAGGCATTAGATGTGTTAGTTTTGTGAGTAAAGCCTTATTATAGTTTTCTGTTCTCTATGATTACAACTGAACACTGAGAAGCATCTTAAACTGTAGAAACGAACACCACAAACATCAACCAGCTAATACAGTTTTTCCTGACAATAAAACCAGATTACAATTAAACTATATTTTCATATTATCTCAATAACGAATAATAAATAATGAAACATGATAACTTTTGCAGAAATCTACTCATCTTATGTATCTGGGGAATAAAAATATCTGCCAGTAAATCAGACTTTTAAAACAACAAACCACCAAATAAATTGCTTGGGTTCTAATCAAAGGAGCTTGCAAAGAAAAGCGTCTGGACTTCTTTAAGTTGCTTGAAGACGTTTCACCTCTCATCCGAGAAGCTTCTTCAGTTCTAAGGTCTAAGCTTCTCGGATGAGAGGTGAAACGTCTTCAAGCAACTTAAAGAGTCCAGACGCTTTTCTTTGCAAGCTCCTTTGACTACGATGACCTGGATGACTGAGAACCTTCACAGACACTTGGGTTCTAATAATGATGCTCTGATATACAGCAGTAGTGCAAAATTGCACTTTTATTCCTAATTTATCCAGTTAGCACATGTAAGCACCCAACAGCTGCTGAGAAATGCACTGCTGGAATTAGACTAGCAAATAAAATAGCTGTTAAAATGATGTTTATAAGGGTTCATTATCGAATAGTGACAGTTATGGTTACTTTAATGAAGATTCAGAACTACATTGACGTGTGTTACATTATTATTAGAAGCACTCATTAAAAAGAGGAACTTGGGAAAAAAACCTGAATAATCCATTCAAATCACTGGAACATATCATAAGTCATGTTATGGACCAAAATCTATTCAAATGCAACTTATTAGCATTGATTTATGGATTAAGGATATTTACAGATTAGTAGTTGTAATAACAAATGATTAAGAATGAATATCTATGCCCTTCTTGATGAGTTTTTGTGGACTTCATGGTCACTAGCTATGGCAGCAGTAACTCCTTTTATTGTAGTTTTTGGTCCAGAGATTTGATGCTAACTGCTCCGAGTGTTTTTTCAGTCTCCAGCCCACAGCTGTTGCCATTCACTGATGCCATCTTCCTTATTCAGCTACTGGAGGTGATGCATCACTGCAGCCTTCCTCTCCAGGTCCAGGTGCTTATGTCTGATTATATTTTAATCTCTTGCTTTCTAGAGATCAGACGTCGAGGATCTAAAGACCTGCTAAAGGTGTGTGCGGTGATGGAGGGGAGTGAGGCAACAGCAGATGAAGCTCATCCTGCCCCCGTACAGATCTATGACATCCCGTACGAGGAAGGTGGCGACAGCGAGAAGACGGCAATCACGCGGCCAGAGCTGGACACTCGTCCCTCCGCTGAGTACGAGCTACCCTGGGAGTGGAAGAAGGAGCATATTGTTAAAACCCTATCAGGTACAGTAGAATTTATTCATGTCTTCTCATACTATAGCCATGCAATAAAAGCCAACAGCAAGACCCCCCCCCCCCCCCAAAATAACATACATTTGTGCATCTGTGCACTCCTGAGTCCACTTTTCAACCAGTTTCTTTATAGAAACAGTGTTTCTACAACCCAACTAGATAAATGTGAACCAGCCAGCACTAGCCTCACATTTATATTTTATTACTGCATAGACCAACTGCATACTGAAAAGCATCATGTAGCAGCATCAAAGTCTGTGTTATTATTTTATATTGACGGGAGGCTTCTGCACCCAGTTCAAACTGCAGTCAGCTGTTTCTTTACATAAATTCTTATCTTCTCGTGGTGCTCGTCTTCCCCTAGCACAGTTTGACAGCTCTGATCGCACCACCAAAGATGAGACGCCTCACCCTACACTTACTAGACAGCCCCAACATCCACCAGCCCAGCATCAGCATCGGAGGCAGAAAAGCTGGACCCAAAAGATTCTGAGATCCTCTCTGCCAGCCCTGCTGCCATCTTCTACCTCCAGCAGCAGCTCTGAAACCGAGGCCTGCTCCGTGGACCCCTCCCTGCCACTGGAAAAACAGAGGTGAGGAGGTTCTTATGTACTCGTTGCACCAGGATAGTAAATGTTTCATTTTATTAATGTGAATCTTGACAAATGAAGTGAGGCAGAATCGGAGTTGTACCTCACAGTGGGGAATGTTCCTCATAGACACTTAAAACAGTTTCTCCAGGAATTTCATGGTCACAGTGTGCATCTGTTTCTTATTCTGGCTATAAATCTCACTCCTGAGCACTAATAAATTTTTGTGTTATGTAAGAGTAATGCTCATTTCCAAGGAGTTGCATAAAATGAGGACCTACACATAATCAGTTGCAGATGAAATGACATCTCCCTCGCTCCCACCCTCTGTCTCAGCTGGTACCATGGCTGTGTGACTCGGCAGGAGGCGGAGTTTCAGCTGCACTCCTGCAAAGAGGCCAGCTTCCTGGTCCGGAACAGCGAGTCGGACAACAGCAAGTACTCCATCGCCCTCAAGTGAGTGCAGTCTGAAAGTGCATTGACACTGTGTGGAGAGCTGAAATGTTGCTTACCTAATTCACATGAATCATTGATGTATCACAAGATTAAAATAAGTAAGATCCTAAGCTAAAGAGCTTGAAGTATATAATTTAATTAAGCTTGTTAAGACTGTTCTACGTTTTTGCTTAAAATTATATCTTTATATGTGAGCAGAATGGCTTCATGTTGAATATAGAGCTACCAGGGAGGAGGAAAAGAGAAGCACATCAGAGGATTCATGGATGTAGTGAAGGAGGACGTAGAGAATGTTGACAAAAGAGCATAGGGATAGGGTGCAATGGAGGCAGATGATCAGCAGATGAAGCTGATTTATAAGTAAATATATCCAAGTTACACTTCATATACAGGATACACATATTTTTATTCATATTTTATATTTCAGTAACTAATTTGAAACTAAGATTCCCACTTAAAGTGCAAAGCTGAACAGGGAAGAGAGACAGACTACTGCTGGTTTTGTCCATCTGTTATCAGTTTTGGATGTTCGGCTGCGCAGTCAAATCTTGTTTTTCTTTTCCTCTCCTGTGTGTGTGTGTGTGTGTGTGAGTCAGGACCAGTCAGGGATGCGTTCATATAATTGTTGCCCAAACGAAAGAAAATGGCTACACCCTGGATCAGAGCAGCTGCGTGTTCCCCAGCATCCCAGAGGTGGTGCACCACTACTCCACTCAGCGTCTGCCTTTCAACGGAGCAGAGCACATGACCCTGCTGCACCCAGTGCCTCGCATCCACTGACTCAAACATAACTTAGCTTGACTATGCAAAACAAACACACCCTGGATGTTTGTAAGGGAGAAGAAATGGTTCCAAAAAGCAATCAAAACATCAGCTCTGATTTCAGGGAACTATCATCCATACAGCAAACTCACCCTGCCTTATGTGGTCTTTTTTATTATCTTTATTTCATCACCAAATTGACTGCGACTGTCTCCATATCTAAAATGTACAATTGGCTGCTTCCTTTATTTCACTTTGTTGTGCAGCTCATGCAAAACATCCATGCTGGTGTTTTGCATGCAAGCAAGCTCAGCAGGGACGATGGGGCACTTTTACTGATAAAAAGTCACTTGAAGTTTGTAAAGACACATGATGTTTTAATCACTCACTATGTTTATGCCAAAAGCTACAATGTGACACTGTCTATGAAGCAGAAAGTACTTTTGCGATGGAGACCTAACATTTCAGTTGGCTCTCTTTCGCCCTCTAGTGGAGCTGCTGGGACATTGTACCAAATTCCCAACAAAAAGAATTCTCCACACACAAAAACCCATGCACATAAGCATTTAATTCCACTTACAAACATATGAACAAAGCCCATCTATTTTATGTGTATCATCTTAATGCATTTCTAATTTATGATTGTATGCTTGTTGGTTATCTGTAACCACGGTGCCTCAAAGATTTCCACTGTGTTACTGTGAATGAGGGTGTTGTTTCTGCTGTATTATCTGCACTGTGAAGAGTTGGTGATTCACCCTGGTGCAATGTGCTTGAAGACACGAAAGCTTTACAATAGTTAGAGCTGAGGCTGAATTTTAATGTCTGGGCCCAGCTTAATGAGACTTTTGGGGGAGCACGTGTAAAGGAGTTCTGCATATTACTGTGATTTGTGGTAAGAAAACTTTAGATAAAATTTTTTAATATGACCCACGACTGATGGCGTAATTACCCAATAAATGAACAGAATTTCAATGTATTTTATTAGAAGTTACAATGTAATTATACATATCTACAAATTCTTAAAGTTAGGTACACTAGAATATGTGGGAAACAAGTCAGGTTTTAACAGGAAATAAACAATAATACTGTAACCTAACCCTTACGTGATTTTAAGGTGTTATACACAATGAAGACCCTCCCATTTTCTGTACACTTCTTTTGAAAATTACTGTTGAACAGTGATTGTGAAAAAAACAAACAAAAAAATAGGTTAGACTTGGCTTCAGGGGCGGATATACAGGGGGTGGGGCAACTGCCCCCAAGCTGTAGAGCCTTGCCCTCCTTTTATGTCTTTAAAATACTTGTAAAAACTAATTGTCTAAAATTACCCACCTAAAATTGTCTTTGTTTTCTTAGAAGAGATAATGATATAATAAATTGTTTTAAAGTGTTTTTGTTTATATGTTGTTGACTCCATTAACATATATGGGATTTTCACTACTTCAGAAGAGGTATGTGCCACCCTGCCTCAACCTCTCGCCCCTCCTTTGCCCCCCTATGTAAAACTTTGTAGATCCGCCACTGCTTGGCTCCACAATTAGGTCACAAATATCTGCAAGTTGTGCCATTCATGTTTTCTTGTAAGATTGTAAGCAAGAAGAGTCTTTATCACATTTTTATTGGTAAAATAACAGGACATTTAAATAATGGAACATCCACAATACACGTCAACATAAGGAATATTCAAAAAAGATGCAAACAAAGAAAAGAAAAAGAAAGATAAAGATGTAAAACGCCAAGGTTATTCCACTCCATATTATGACCTCCCAAAAAAGATGGGGGAAATATTGTTTTGTTTTTCTGTAAAATTACCATGAAATTACACTTACACAGTATTTTAATTTACTTATAGTATTTTTATATATCTTAGTTTCCTATAAAAACCTGACTTGTTACTCCCTATTTTAGTGTGCCTACCTTTTAAGTATTTGTAGTTAAATATAGTTACATAGTAATTTTAAATAAAAGAAGTGAAATTCCATTTAATTACAGGGCTCCTACAGTAAAAGTGCATGAAAGAAATGCCAGTCTCGTCTCTGTTTAACGTTCCCTTGTTTCTAATGCTGCTATCCCTCAGGTGTAATGCCCTCTGGTGCTAAACGGCAGAAGTGCAAACTGGTGACTATATTATATTCACTGAAGTCTTAATGTGTGTTTCTTCTTGCGTTCTAAATCTAAAATATTTGGCATTGTGTCTTTACTCTTAAATGCTGGAATTCATTCTTGGACCACTTTGATCTACAGCACAGTCTCCTGCTAAGCTGTCAGCTGACAAGAAAATCCTTCCAAAGGTTACATTTGGCTTTATTATACATTTTTTGGAGGTCTGCCATTAACATGTCTCTTCAAAGATGTTATGAGAGTACATTTCAAACAGTAGTAATCTGAGGAGACACACCTGCTATAGATTTCATTCTTTTTTTTTTTTATTAGTCTCTTTTGATATATGAAAACCTATTGTGTGAACACTGTAGAGCAGATCATAATAAAAGGTCCTGAATCTCAATGCTGGATATCCCCTGTGAGCCTGTCTCTGATCCCAATAAATCAGCAACATAAACAGCAGAATGTGAGGGTATTTGTGTCAGTGATGAAAGACGGAGAGAGATCAAAGTGTCCCAACATCCTACAGGAGCCGAGTGACTGAATGAGGGCATTTTTGAGCACAATGAATCTTTAAATGTGAGAGATTGATTGTGGTTTTAGCAGTTTGATAATTTACCTGGAGGTTTAGTACTCTGTGCTGCTAATGAGGAGACAGAATAATATTCCAGGTTAAGGGCAAAAGTCCAGTGGGGAGTTCAGGTGAGTATCATGTTAAGAACAAATGGCTGATGTGCCTACAATGAACACCCGGCATGTGCCGTGTGTAGATCTAAGATAAATGCAGTGCTAAAAACAGACAAAGAGGTAGAGTAGTATCATTACAGCCATGTCAAGGACACTTAATGTGAAGGGGGAAAAAACAGGAGCAATTGACACCATCACTCTCTCATTCCCTACTTTTCTTACGTATCATTCGCCCCTCTCCTTTACCTTCTTCACCCTGTCTGTGTTATTTGAGGTTGTCTCCTTGACTCTCACGGAGGACACCGTCACCGTTCGCCTGTGTGTGATGCCAAGAGTTTGTACTTAAGCTCATTAAGGAGAGCCACAAGTTGGGTTTCATTAGTCCTAATATGGAGATGACTTTCAGCCTTCTCACGCGTGCTGTCACGTCATGGATATTTGTTTGCCGTTACCTGTTTAAGCAGTTCATAGGTGTCGGGTGACTTACGTAGCACTTTTTTTTTAACCTGCTTGGCTACAATTTTTTTTTTTTAATGTTCGCAAAAACCACACAGAGATTACTTAATTAAATAAAATACCGATATTTCAAATTCTGAAATAAATGCAAGAGTATAGAAATAGAGGCTTTATCAACAAAACATACTGAAAGAAACAAAAGTAAAAGATGTCAATCTGCAGAAAAATGATCCCTGTGAGCAATATTATTTTTTTAATCTTTCTGATAAGATTTAGTACAGTGTTTTTAAACTTTGTACCTCAACTTAGTCACATCAGTCTCCATCTTGATCTTCTTAGCTTTAACTCTAAAGTGCTCTTTGTGTGTGCGTGGTCAAGTTGGTGGTTTGTATTACACTTTTAAAGATTATTTCAGAATTTTTATGAGTAAGAATTGTAATTTAAATGGTCATGCAAAAGCATAAAAAATTCCTGAAGTTCAATTAAAAGAAACAAAAAGCACTTCAGAAGTTGAGGTAATGCCCTTTTCACTAACAAAGCCTGCTCTTTATCAATGTAATCCACTTGCTTGCTGACTTCTTTCTGGCAATGTGCTGCACCCATAAGGTCTCCCTGCGGTCTTCTATCAAGATGGATTTCATGAAGCGGAGGAAAGCAGGCCTTCTCAAATTCTACCCAAGAGGGAGGGAGATACACCTGGAAAAGAATGAATCGTCAAATGATATAGACCTGGAGCCACCTATGCTACTGTATACTCGAATGACTAATTTTAGTTTGCTCTCACATCAGTGCCGTCAGGGCTGCCATGCAATCGTTGAGCCCCTCTCAGGCTTGCATGACAGCCTGACATGATCGCTTCAGGATTCACTGCCTGATGGACAGGGTGGCTTGACATCTGGGTGTCGCTTGACCTGCTCTGTTGGTAACCGAAGTGTTCCTGCAGGTCCTTATCAGATGCTTCAGGCTCTGTGCCAGTGACATGGCCTGGCTTTGTAATGCTCGTCTCCTCTCCTCACACAGGATGCACCTGCCATGCAGAGACTGTTGTCTTTAAGTTTAAATCAGCTCACCTCACAAGGTCAGGCGTGCTCTTAGACACTGTTTGCAGGATGTCTCCGCACTGTTGTTCATCCCCGTGTGGTTGAAAAGGTCATTTGACTGAGAATTAAGTAACTGCTCTGAAGCATAACTCATGCAGCATGTCTGTCTCACCCTGATTCAAAGCTGATAAACCTCAGCTACAAGCCTACAATTCACCGGACAAACCCAGGACTGCTCTCAATATACATATAAGACAGAATTGCAGAGTTAGGAAAAGTACTTTTTATGTGATGCATGCTTTTCTCCTAAGACTTTTACACTTTAGTAGTACACTGCTCAAAAAATTAAAGAAAAACTTTAAAAAGACAAATCCCAGTAGGAAAAAAATGCTGGATATCTATAGTGACATGGACTCAATAATGGGTTAGGAGTGAAAGGATCCCCTGTCGTTTGATGGAAATGATAATTATCAACGTACAGAGGCCTGAATTCAAAGACACCAGGAAAATCAAATTAAAAATGATGCAGGCTAGTACATTTTGCTGAAATTTTATTGCTTTTATGAATGGCTGACAATGATGCATGCTACCAGTGACAGAACAGATGGTTTCCTGGGGAAGTTCCTGGACAGTCTGAGGTGCAACCTGGTGGAATTGAATGGACCGAGACACAACGTCCCAGAGCTGTTCTAGTGGATTTAGGTTAGGTGAATGTGGCGGGCAGTTAATGGTATCAATTCCTTTATCCTTTAAGAACTGCCTGCATGCTCTCCCACATGAGGCATTGTTGTACACCAGGAGGAACCCAGGACCCACTGCACCAGTGTAGTATCTGACGGTGTGTTCAAGGGTTTCATCCTGATACCTAATGGCAGGTCTGTGTGACTTTCCATGAATATGCCTCCCCAGACCATCACTGACCTACCACCAAACTGGTCATGCTGAACAATCTTATAGGCAGACCCTTTCCTGTCTGTCACATGTGCTCATAGCGAACCTGCTCTCACCAGTGAAAAGTACAGGGTGCCAGTGGTTGAAGCACCAATTCTGGTATTCAATGGCAAATTCCGATCAGCTCCACTAGAGGACATCGGGCCTGAGGCAAAGTCTGTTTCTGAGTGTTTGAGCAGAGACATTCACACCAGTGGCCTGTTGGAAGTCATTTTGTAGCTCATCCTGTTCTTCTTTGCAGAAAGGACCAGATACCGGTCTTGGTGATGGATTAAGGACCTTCTACAACCCTGTCCAGCTCTCCTAGTGTAACTGCCTATCTCCTGGAATCTCCTTCCTCCTCTTGAGACTTTGGTGGGAGATGCAGCAAACCTTCTGGAAATAGCACTTATTGATGTTCCATGTTGGGGGACTTGGATTTTCACTTCATGACTCTGACCCTAGTCAAATGCAAAAAAGTGAAAAACAGTCGGAAAAGACGAGCATGGAAAAAAATGTCAGCGGCCTGTTTTGAAGGTTGTGTCGTTGTTGCCACTCCAGCACACTTGGTGTTAATTTTATTAACACCAAAGCAGCTAAACCTTTGGCACTTTTACCCAAGTAAAATATATGGCGTGTGCCCTCCATGTGTGTTGCAGATTGACTTGACTTGGTATCTCAGACTTGTACAGAAAGGCAAGCAGAGCTGACAAACCAGTTTGCTTCACTAGATTCAGGTGACAAACAAATCAAACTAAATTCCATTTCAGGATTTTGCCTGTTTTTCACATGTGAATTGTGGCTTTCCTGCATCTTGTTGCTCTCACCCTCAACATCTTTATCTTTCTACCCTTCCTAGCTGAAGGAGTTTTAGAGTTTTTTTATTTGAAGTGACTATAAACATTTACAGGCAGTTTCCCTGACACTGAATAACCCAATTGCTCAAAGCAAAAAAGGAAGAATTCAGT